GACTGAGAGGTTCCCAATTTCATCAAACAGGTCAAAGCAATCAGTAAAAGCTGTATTTCATTTGTCAGGCACAGTCTGGAAAAAATTAGTCAATAAAATTTGTATCAAACTATACTGTATCTGCTTCTGGATGCATTTTTTAAGAATGCAAATTTAACTACAAACAGCACTGGCATGTAAGCTACGTACAGTCATAGGCTACAATGACAAGCAATGGTGCACTGATTCACACATGTGTGCTGTATTTTGTGTTTTGTTGCCCATTGTGTACTGATTGTTTGGAGGTGTTCATACATAGTGTCAAAGTTGAGTTGTTTCAAGACAAAGTTTGCTTTTTTTCCATATTTTAAATRTTTTGACACAGGTGTTGCCTTTTGCAAACAAGATGTGTCATTTTGACCACTGTGTCAATATTTAGGCCTCTGCTGTTTTGAAAATGTGTTTTTTGAGTTGATGGCTGTGTCAAACCAATCAATAAAAACTGTATAARTTTTATCTTTAAATAAAATATCTGAAATTATTTTTTAACTTCTAATTGTTCCAATACTGTTATGTTTATGAGATTTTATTAGGTCTAAATATCTAGGGGATATTAATAACACACAACAAATATAATGCACAACAAGCAAAATTTTGAAACTTAAGATAAAACTGTCTGGTGTTTGGGGGGTTGTCCAAATTTTTGGKGATAGCCTCTGATGTCTCTTCACATTAGCATCCGATTAACTAAGTGTTTGTGTATCAGATATGTAGGCTATTTTATGTTTTCATGTTTATAGATATTATTCAGTTCTCTGCTGTCTAGGTCAAACTACTGAACCAAACACGTTTTGGTTTGATCCAGTGGTGACTCTACACTGATTGGAAAAAAAAGTTCAACTTTTTAATTTTATAGTAAATTTAGTCRTTGACAGATCCTATCTTACTTTACATGGCCTGCTAGTTTAGACCTCCACTGTCAACAAAGATGTTTATTTTTGGTCTCGGCATATTGCCTACTTACAAACACACATAAAAAATGTTTTTAAGTAGCGTTTGGCTTTTGTTTCTGTCTCTTGTTATATCAAGCCGTCACACAGAGGTACTTAGATGTACTGTTAAACCTCTATTGAACACCATCCAGAAACCCTGCTGTTATGGAGGGCTGTTTCATTCAAAATTAAATAAATAAATACATAAATAAATACTGTAATTAATAAAATCTTAATAAACATAAATGTCCCCATGAAACAAAACAAAATCGATACATTTTTAGCATTTCTTTACATTATTTCTTCATTTATTTATTTATAAAATAAATAAATTTGTTTGTTTAAGGATGCATTTATATTCATAAATATGTATGTATGTATGTATGTATGTATGTATGTATGTATGTATGTATGTATGTATGTATGTA